AATACTTATCCATCTCGGTAAGTACTCGAACCGTACTCCCGTCCGTGTTCGATATCACGAATGTCCGACTTCACTGTCCGACATGTTCGACTGTTCTTTTATTTGTTAAGATCCCATTTCACCAACAGTTTCAGTGATTGCAATAGTCCACTTGAGGTTCCAAAATATTTGCACAAATTGTGTTTGCAAGAGGGACAGAATCTTTTGGAAGGTCCGCCAGAAATGCTATGATATACAGCATTCCGGTTCTTTGAGTCTGCTGACACAATCAAAGGTGCTTATGCCATAGGAAGTACTTTGGCTACTATTCTATACATCTGTCGTCTTGGGTGTCTCTCTCAGGCTTTCAGGTGTAGTGGTGTTGACTACATCAAACGTCAGCTCACGCTTTGCAAAGTTGTTCAGCAGTGGCGAGTCTTTCAGACATTGTCTCCACTTATCCGACACGTCCGCAAATATGAGAAGGCAAGAAAGAATGGACGTTCTGGAGACTATGTATCTCAAAACGGGGATGTTGTTGTGGCTGGTAACAAATTCAATAGGGACATCTGGTCCAAGCTAATTCTATTGGATCCATCTTTGAGTCCAAAGACTAACACAACAAACGGCTTGTATCATTTTACCATCCGTGACAAGTTGGATTCTACCTGCTTTGAGTTTAAGAAGGACCATGCTGTGATGGAAAAACTTGACAGTCTGGTGCAGCTTATGTTTCATGGTATTGGCTTTGGTGCCATGCGGCATTCGGAAATAAAGGAAATGGAAGAGTGCGGGAGGCCAAGATTCTTCAATGGCGAGATATGGTATTCGGCAGAGGGTTTCAAGCGGTCAAATGTTTTCCGGACATCCAATGGTTTTGTGGAAAGACGTCTACCGTGGTCCTTGAGTCGCTTGTATCTCTTGTATCTTCTTGCCAAAGAAGAAACGGGATATTGTTCAGTTGATGGACTGAAGCCAACACACATGGCCCAGGAGATATTCCAGCTAGATACTCTTCCTAAGTAATCTGTACATCTGTACTTTGTTTTTTATACGTGTATAGATAATATATAACGCATTTTGTCGGTCTTTACGTTACGTGTGTACATACTGGATTTTCTACATGTTTTTTACATGTTCCGTGCCAAATTTTTTACGCTTGTCCGCTTTTTTGACGCTTGTCCCGACGCTTTTCCGCTTTTTCCGACGCTTTTCCGACGCTTGTCCACATCTTTGACGCTTGTCTCGACTTTTTCAAACGACCGTTGTAAGTCAAACTTTTTGAATTCGTCTCTTGGCATTTTGAATGTTTGAATCTACCACAAATAAATTTCAAAATGCCAAAGAGGAAAAAGACAACAAAACCAAGGGTTAGGGTTAGGGCTAGGGTTAGGGCTAGGGTTAGGGTTAGGGTTAGTAGGGGTAAATCCACCTATATTTCAGGCATAGTAGGGGGAAAATCTGTCAGATAATCAACTCCGTAGCTGTAATGAGAGCCTCAACGCTCTAGCCACCTCTGGAGTATACTGAGCTCGAATCTACGTCGGCTATGGATTGCCTACAATAGGAACAGGTGCCAGTGATGCTGGGCTTCTACCTGCGGGTGAACAGTCCCACCACTTCCTATTAGATCTTATTCTACTGCTATTCTTGCCAGAAGTCGATCAACAATGATCTCCACAAGCAGGTACAAAAAATCTCTTCCGGAAGCAACCTGCGTCAGCTCTCACCAGCTGTCGCGGCGCATAAAGCACATACGCACATGTTCTTCACGAATTAGTCACAGATCTGGATCTACCTTCAATACTTATCCATCTCGGTAAGTACTCGAACCGTACTCCCGTCCGTGTTCGATATCACGAATGTCCGACTTCACTGTCCGACATGTTCGACTGTTCTTTTATTTGTTAAGATCCCATTTCACCAACAGTTTCAGTGATTGCAATAGTCCACTTGAGGTTCCAAAATATTTGCACAAATTGTGTTTGCAAGAGGGACAGAATCTTTTGGAAGGTCCGCCAGAAATGCTATGATATACAGCATTCCGGTTCTTTGAGTCTGCTGACACAATCAAAGGTGCTTATGCCATAGGAAGTACTTTGGCTACTATTCTATACATCTGTCGTCTTGGGTGTCTCTCTCAGGCTTTCAGGTGTAGTGGTGTTGACTACATCAAACGTCAGCTCACGCTTTGCAAAGTTGTTCAGCAGTGGCGAGTCTTTCAGACATTGTCTCCACTTATCCGACACGTCCGCAAATATGAGAAGGCAAGAAAGAATGGACGTTCTGGAGACTATGTATCTCAAAACGGGGATGTTGTTGTGGCTGGTAACAAATTCAATAGGGACATCTGGTCCAAGCTAATTCTATTGGATCCATCTTTGAGTCCAAAGACTAACACAACAAACGGCTTGTATCATTTTACCATCCGTGACAAGTTGGATTCTACCTGCTTTGAGTTTAAGAAGGACCATGCTGTGATGGAAAAACTTGACAGTCTGGTGCAGCTTATGTTTCATGGTATTGGCTTTGGTGCCATGCGGCATTCGGAAATAAAGGAAATGGAAGAGTGCGGGAGGCCAAGATTCTTCAATGGCGAGATATGGTATTCGGCAGAGGGTTTCAAGCGGTCAAATGTTTTCCGGACATCCAATGGTTTTGTGGAAAGACGTCTACCGTGGTCCTTGAGTCGCTTGTATCTCTTGTATCTTCTTGCCAAAGAAGAAACGGGATATTGTTCAGTTGATGGACTGAAGCCAACACACATGGCCCAGGAGATATTCCAGCTAGATACTCTTCCTAAGTAATCTGTACATCTGTACTTTGTTTTTTATACGTGTATAGATAATATATAACGCATTTTGTCGGTCTTTACGTTACGTGTGTACATACTGGATTTTCTACATGTTTTTTACATGTTCCGTGCCAAATTTTTTACGCTTGTCCGCTTTTTTGACGCTTGTCCCGACGCTTTTCCGCTTTTTCCGACGCTTTTCCGACGCTTGTCCACATCTTTGACGCTTGTCTCGACTTTTTCAAACGACCGTTGTAAGTCAAACTTTTTGAATTCGTCTCTTGGCATTTTGAATGTTTGAATCTACCACAAATAAATTTCAAAATGCCAAAGAGGAAAAAGACAACAAAACCAAGGGTTAGGGTTAGGGCTAGGGTTAGGGCTAGGGTTAGGGTTAGGGTTAGTAGGGGTAAATCCACCTATATTTCAGGCATAGTAGGGGGAAAATCTGTCAGATAATCAACTCCGTAGCTGTAATGAGAGCCTCAACGCTCTAGCCACCTCTGGAGTATACTGAGCTCGAATCTACGTCGGCTATGGATTGCCTACAATAGGAACAGGTGCCAGTGATGCTGGGCTTCTACCTGCGGGTGAACAGTCCCACCACTTCCTATTAGATCTTATTCTACTGCTATTCTTGCCAGAAGTCGATCAACAATGATCTCCACAAGCAGGTACAAAAAATCTCTTCCGGAAGCAACCTGCGTCAGCTCTCACCAGCTGTCGCGGCGCATAAAGCACATACGCACATGTTCTTCACGAATTAGTCACAGATCTGGATCTACCTTCAATACTTATCCATCTCGGTAAGTACTCGAACCGTACTCCCGTCCGTGTTCGATATCACGAATGTCCGACTTCACTGTCCGACATGTTCGACTGTTCTTTTATTTGTTAAGATCCCATTTCACCAACAGTTTCAGTGATTGCAATAGTCCACTTGAGGTTCCAAAATATTTGCACAAATTGTGTTTGCAAGAGGGACAGAATCTTTTGGAAGGTCCGCCAGAAATGCTATGATATACAGCATTCCGGTTCTTTGAGTCTGCTGACACAATCAAAGGTGCTTATGCCATAGGAAGTACTTTGGCTACTATTCTATACATCTGTCGTCTTGGGTGTCTCTCTCAGGCTTTCAGGTGTAGTGGTGTTGACTACATCAAACGTCAGCTCACGCTTTGCAAAGTTGTTCAGCAGTGGCGAGTCTTTCAGACATTGTCTCCACTTATCCGACACGTCCGCAAATATGAGAAGGCAAGAAAGAATGGACGTTCTGGAGACTATGTATCTCAAAACGGGGATGTTGTTGTGGCTGGTAACAAATTCAATAGGGACATCTGGTCCAAGCTAATTCTATTGGATCCATCTTTGAGTCCAAAGACTAACACAACAAACGGCTTGTATCATTTTACCATCCGTGACAAGTTGGATTCTACCTGCTTTGAGTTTAAGAAGGACCATGCTGTGATGGAAAAACTTGACAGTCTGGTGCAGCTTATGTTTCATGGTATTGGCTTTGGTGCCATGCGGCATTCGGAAATAAAGGAAATGGAAGAGTGCGGGAGGCCAAGATTCTTCAATGGCGAGATATGGTATTCGGCAGAGGGTTTCAAGCGGTCAAATGTTTTCCGGACATCCAATGGTTTTGTGGAAAGACGTCTACCGTGGTCCTTGAGTCGCTTGTATCTCTTGTATCTTCTTGCCAAAGAAGAAACGGGATATTGTTCAGTTGATGGACTGAAGCCAACACACATGGCCCAGGAGATATTCCAGCTAGATACTCTTCCTAAGTAATCTGTACATCTGTACTTTGTTTTTTATACGTGTATAGATAATATATAACGCATTTTGTCGGTCTTTACGTTACGTGTGTACATACTGGATTTTCTACATGTTTTTTACATGTTCCGTGCCAAATTTTTTACGCTTGTCCGCTTTTTTGACGCTTGTCCCGACGCTTTTCCGCTTTTTCCGACGCTTTTCCGACGCTTGTCCACATCTTTGACGCTTGTCTCGACTTTTTCAAACGACCGTTGTAAGTCAAACTTTTTGAATTCGTCTCTTGGCATTTTGAATGTTTGAATCTACCACAAATAAATTTCAAAATGCCAAAGAGGAAAAAGACAACAAAACCAAGGGTTAGGGTTAGGGCTAGGGTTAGGGCTAGGGTTAGGGTTAGGGTTAGTAGGGGTAAATCCACCTATATTTCAGGCATAGTAGGGGGAAAATCTGTCAGATAATCAACTCCGTAGCTGTAATGAGAGCCTCAACGCTCTAGCCACCTCTGGAGTATACTGAGCTCGAATCTACGTCGGCTATGGATTGCCTACAATAGGAACAGGTGCCAGTGATGCT